CAGCACAAGAGTTTGTATACAATTATTGTGATTCCCGAAGTTTTGGTTCAGAAGTTAAAATCTCCACAATCAAACATTAGACCTAAGTTACTGCATCTCCCCAAGACACGTTAACGCCTATTAATTTTCTCCCATTTTCTCAATTAAACATTCTTTAAATATACTACTTGAAGTGTCTTCTCCTTCATTTGACTAGTAGACTAGATTTCCCATTCCAGCTGACCTCTGTGAAAAAAAAATTAGAAGAAATGTGTTTACAGGGTGGCCTACTTAAATTCAATTTCCCTTGCTCTATATTGAAAGAAAGCAAGTTACTACATTTCCCCTAGTCTTCAAGAAAGTTTTGGAGAAAATTCAGCATTTGGAGAAGATTGTTCTGCATTCGCATTTCTTTTGGAACAGGAACCAGAGTTCTTGTTAATGAAATCTGAAATAAAGACAACATACTCTCCAAGATTAACTCTTAAAATCTAAGTAATCTTTCTTCTTAGGATGGAAGATCAGTTGCTCTATTTGAAAGAATTCTTTGCTGCCACAAGATTAACAAAAGTTGAAGTGTCTTAAAAAAATGCTTTCACCTGTGTTAAAAAATTACCCACAGCAGATGATTCATAAGGAAGAAAATTAGAAGACATCATGCTCTTCCATGACTTTGCAGCTAGCAAGAAGAACAAGAAATATCAGCTTCCCAAAGTGTTGCAGAAGCCTGGACAACATTATTCATGATATAATAAGCTGTAGCTAATGATCTGATGGTAATTGTAATTACCTATGATTTTTCCAGAAAGGATGAATGCTATAGTCTGAAGCTTTCCTCATTTTCCTTTCCTTTACATAAGCTTTTTGGGCCATAAAACTTTGGTGAAAGACAAGATTTATTCATAGATTGAAGTCTTTTTTATGAGATGGGATAACCAATTTTAAGACAGGTCCACGTTAAGTTTCTGCATCAGAAAGTACTCAAGGCTATAACTGGAATCTGGATCTGAATATATGTTGTAATTCCATGATGGACATTTTTCTCTATGTTTAGCCTGTGTCTGGGGCTAGGCTGTAACAGTTGCTCTATCACCCAATGACCCTTCACCAGCCAGGAAGGGGAACTGGGAAAAGGAGAGGACACCAGTGGGTTGAAGGGAAAAGAGATTTAGTGAAACAACACCAATACCAACAGAGGTATGCAAAGTTATACTCAGCTAAATGAATACACAGCGGTCACAATTGAGAGGAGAGCAGCCCTCAGGACCAGGGAGAAGCCAGAGGAGGAGCAGGAAGAGAAGAAACTCCTGCAGGACCCCCAGGTAGAACTCCCCAGCAAACCTTCCCCCTTTATACTGAGCATGACATTATGGAATGGGCTACATCTGTAGTTGAGTCCAGCCAGCTGCCCTGGCGGACTCAAAACTGCTAACAGCCTACCTAGCATGGCTGGCCCATGATTCTATCCCAACCAAACCAGGACACTTATACAAATCAAGTTTTATTGTATTTCCCACTTCTCATTTTCCCATGGTAAAAGACTTTCAGATATAGATTAACATGGTTGCTTTCTGCACAGAGGAAATAAATAAGATTCCTATGCAGATTCACTCATTAGTATCTGCTGCACCACTTATTCCCTTTCATACTGGTTTTAACAAGTGTTAACAAATAATCCATTGTTTCATGGCTTAACGCAACACTGAAAAGATTAAAAAGTCCAAGGAAATTGCAATCTCAAAGATAGACACAAGAGGCAATTTTGTCATCCTACCCAAAAAGCTACAATTCTTGACAGTCTTCATGGTGGAAGAGAAGAAATCTTAAATGAACAATATTTAGACACTTGTAAATGTCTGCTTTTTTGGACAAGTTGGCAAGGAGAGCAGTGCGATTTTGTTTCTGACAAGTCATTATCTATATGTGGGGATAAGTTTAGCCCTCAAACAAGCAAATCCATTGTTTTCCTGTTTAACCAGCAGGATATAAAAATAAAAATCTGACAAACACATGCAAGAGAAACAAACAGAAATGACAGCACTGTGTGATAAAAGCCAGAGTTCTGCAAGATCTTGCTTGTGAAAGCGTACATTATATAAAGCACTGTTGATTGATTTGAAGGATGACAGGCAACATTCACAGAGAGGGGAAGTTTTACTCTTCTGACTCCCAGATGTGATATTTTAACAGGAAGAAGTAATTTGCTACTTTGCTGAGAGAACAGTTTTGATACAATAAGACAAAATTTTCAAACTTCTGAAACTCCTAAAACCAAGAGGTCATGAAACATTTTGAAGTGAACACAGAGACATGTAATTAATTCATTTAGAAATGGCTGAACAGGGGCATATATTACTATCTCCCATTTCTAAACTGCATTTTTACAGTTTTATTTGACATACCACCTGGTAAAACAAATACAACTGAAAGCTAGTCTACAGTGCAGAGTACAAAATTAAATGTAGTTCAAATGGCTAAGTTTTTAAGAGTTTTCTTGGCATCTAAGAATGCAAATAGGTCCCATGACAGATCTTGTTCTGTGCTACCTTATATAGACAGAATTAAGCCTTCTTGAAAATTTCTTAGAAATATGGGTGCCTGTAGCTACTTAAGCACCTGTTTTCACTGCACTCCATGTTTAAGAGACCAATAGCCACACCAGTACCATGAAACTTAGACTTACCTTCCCAGAGGTTTGAACAAAAAAAGAAATATCTTTCCCTGTATCAGAATAAATACCAGGTGATATACAGTTACTATGACTTTTCCATTTCACTTAGTCACTGTGATTTTCCAGTTGTTATTTATGAATTTTTTAAACAAAAAACCTCCCCATTGATAAAAGATCTCAAGCCAACTTTTTTTTGGTAACAAAAGCTGTACAAAACTCACCTGCTGTAAATGTAACATGCCATATGATTGATTTCTTTGTCTAATTTATACCGCCGAAAGTCCTCCCAAGCATCTTTAATGGCTGTAATGGCCATTATAACACAAATTGGGATCACAGAAACTTCTGGTTGGAAAGCATTCACCACTGGCACAAAATTCAGCAGTGCAATGCCCACAAAATAAATATTGGCAAAACGGTGAAACTGCTCATAGATATTTTTAGGGAGGAAAGTCAAGATGGTGTATTTTGTGGTCTTAATTTTATTGGAGTCATAGTATCTATTTGGATTTTCCTTCCACTTCTTACTTCCAAAGGGCAAATTGGAGATGATAACTCGTTTATTTTCATTTTTCTTCTTTCTTTTCTTTACTTTTCCTCTCTTCTCCAGCTCTTCATTTTGGATTTCAGTGTCTTGAGCACAACATTGGCAACAGACTTCCTTGAAAAAATGCTTTTTCCATATCATACGAGAGAAGCAGCCTGGAACACTTTTCCTTGACATCTTGCTTCCTCTCAAAAAGTAGCCTCAATTAGATAACCAACAAAGTTAGAAAAGTTCGATAATCCAAATAAACTCCCAAGTGGTGAAGAGAAGATTCAAGATGTCTGAAGCCCAGGGCTGGCACGCTCCTTTGACTCCAACCTCCTCCTGCCTAGGGGACAGGTATCATCGTGACTCAGCTCCACTGGGTCCTAGAGCCTGCTGGGGAGGCTGCACCTCACATATGACAAAAGCATCCTGAATGTTTTGTTATTCCTGTTAGCGTATGCCTGGAGGCCCTTTTCAGAGCAATTCCCTAGCACCGACTATCTGCTCACATGAAGTGTTTCTGTTTTAACACGGAGCAGCGACAACGGTAAGAACGTACACATAATTTTCATAGTTCACTCCATGAGTTTCAGAATCATTTTACGAGCCTAGGAGTTGCCAGGAAGTTCAAAGGTAATGGGCAGAGCTCTGTGTCCCAGAAGTCAACAGAAGATTGCTGTAAGCCTCAGTACAGACAGTAATTCTGTCTTTTACTTCCTCTATCTACTATTTGTTTTCATGACCATAACGTGGATTATTAAATAACCAACCAACTTCCATTCCCGCAAACCAAGCAAACCTATGATTTGGGAGTTGCAAGAATTATAGCTAGACAAAGGCAATAGAAGGGCAGTTTGCCTAGATTGCCCCTCAGCCTGATCCTTCTCCTCTGATAGACTTCCTGGACACCCAAAGTGTCCCTCTTTCACCCAGTAATCCCTTGCAGCCTCTCATTTCTTCTTCCCCATGGGTCCTTGTGCCTTTGACACATAAGCATGTATGCATAGATGAGGCCTAATTTCCAAATGAGCTAATGAGATATGTACAAACCGTAGTATTTTTTTTCTCTATAGCCTAGGCTTAGAGAGAGGTAAAAAAAGGAAGAAACTCTAAACGATTAAACTTCTTCTAGACGAAAACTCCTATCTATTGCATTATGTAGTGACAAGCTAAGTAGTCTCAAGTCAAGTTAGTACTTGGACAAGAAACTCTGATGAAATCGAAATGTTGCAATAAGAATTGCACATGAAAATACTTCTTCCTTCTGAGTCAGTACGGAGCAAACATCACAGCTTACTGTGGGGGTTGTACCATCTCCAAAGCGAAACTGTGCTGTATTGATCACCTGTGTTTACTGGAAGTCCTAGGGATTTTTTTTCAGTTCCTGTTGTGCTTCACCCTGAATGTAGTTGATAATTAATTTTTGTATTGATGGTTTTAGCGTGAAACATCTAAAAGACACGGCTCCAACTTGTTAAACAGCCCCAGTAATACTTTCCGGACTTGGATATATTTCATTTTTCCTCCAGATCCTTCTGCCACCTGGAGAGGATGTTGTGTGTGTTGGCAAGCTGATTTGGACTTGGAATGAAAACCTGTATATCAGCACACACTGCTGTGGTATGAAAAAAACCTTCAATATCAGGTGACTTAAGTGAGATAAATGAGACATTTTTAAAGGTAGAACAAAATTATTTTATAATAGCTTTTCCAAACTTACTGTACTCTGAAGTATCAGTGAGAAAATTACTGCAAAATCAGATGAGCAGTTTCTACCACATCAAATGCAAGGAAAAATAGTTGGGTTAGTTTACTTACTTGTCATATACCCTGGTTTTAGAGAAGTTTATCATCTTATCAAATTGGTATTTTCTATAGTCTTCAATAGCATCCTTAATCATACTGGCAAGCAGCACCGCAATCAGAGGCATCATAGTAATCTCCCTATGGAAGACTTCCACTTGTGGGAACCAGTTCAGAACCACCAGAAAGAAGAAATAAAGATTACCCAGTCTGAAAAAGTATAACATAAATTAAAATTAGTCAGAAATAAGAATGAGTCCTTCTCTTAATGAACATCCCCCATTTTGTGACAAAAGGACATTCATAATTTCACTCCTCTACCCTTCTCTTCCTTTCCCAGAATGAACTAATCAATTGCTTAACTGAGATGCTATTTTTTTTCTTTAGAAGAGCCTGAGATACATTTTCGTAATATAATAACTACCTCAATTTTTCCACATATTACAAACACTCTTTATCTCTAGGAGGTAAAACTTCTTAATGACCCTCCACTGCCTCAGTCTTGACAATAAGTGCAAAATCAAACAAAAGCCAAAAAAAATCTTACAAAAACTGAACCAATGTAACAGAATGGGTGCAAAAACGCACATGCTCAGAATTATGGAAATGTCCCCGTCAGGAATCCATGGAGGATTCCACAGGTGGAAGGTCAAATTATGAATGTGTAATATAATACATAGAATGAAAATTTCAAAGCTAGAGATGGATATACAATTTTAATTGATGTTTATCATAATGATATTTCCCTGTGCATCTTGTTGACATGTTTTATTATGCTGGGAGGGTACATAATTTCAAACCAGCACTTGGAAAGGAACCTGACCTAGCACTTGCATATGCATGCACAGTGTTTATATGTGGGTAGACAAAGTCACTTGCATTCTATTAAAAATGTACCAAAATTAATCTATGAGCCTCTGAACTCTACAGATTTTCATAGGTGTCTCAACACATCCAATGAATGTTCTTACAAGTTAGAAGTGTATTCAACACAGAGAGGTTTTTTAATTAAAACCTGGAAATTTTTTATATAGAAAACTGTTCCAGCATTCAAACAAGAAAGCTGGCCACAGCATCGGTTAAGCACACCTAGCATTTACTTGCTTTACACCTCCATTTCAATGTGAATCAAGTGACATTTGGTTACAATGATCATCACCTAAATTTTGGTAATGTGGCAACTACAAAAGCAGCCCTTCTCCATCGCCGTCAAATCTATTTTTTTTCAGAGAGTGTTCTCAAATCGCATATATCACTGAATGATTTTTTTTACCTGTGAAACTGCTCAAAAATATTTTTGGGCAAAAAGGTGACCCACGTGTATTTTGTGGTCTGTATCCTGTTTCCAGAATAAAATACTGAAGCTTGTTTCCAGTCTTTCCACTGCCTCCCATTGTCAGGAAACACAATCCTCCATTTGTTTAAGTTGACTTTTGGTTTGTCTCTGACAGCAAACAGCAGTGGTGTCGATTCTGATAGAGTCTGGGAAGGACTTTCAGCTCCTAGTCGCTGCCAACGGTACAAAGCAGAGTCCACAGACAAAGCCATTCACAGCAGGGATGTCAGGCTGAAAGACAAATGCATGACAAGGACTGAAAACCAATTCCATTCTAGTAGAAAATTCCCTTCACGTCTTGCTAGCAGAGGTTTAAAGCAGCAAACAATACTCCTGTTCAGTGCATTGCATGTTCAGTCTTTGAGCCCAGCACTTTCTGCAAAGAATGTGCAGAATAAAAGATACAACAAAATCTTCAATATGGAAAAATCTATTTTTATCTCTGGGGGAAAAAAAATCCCAAATCTATTTCCTGTGTGTTGTAACAGCAAACTAACATAGATAAAGCCAATTTAACAGAGGTGAACAATAGCTTTTCCGTCACCAATTCTGTATCATTTTCCTCAGTCATAAACTGCCACCAAATCTATTCAGGCATTTTCTTCAAACGTCTGACTTTCTTACAATACTTTTTGTATTCACACTTACTTACAAAAGGATCGGTTCAGGTGTTGAATCTTAATAGCTCAGATAATAAAGAATTGCAGCATCAGCTTAATCTAATTTACACTCACGTAACAGTTTTCCACAGTCTCCATAGAAATTTGATTTGAATGGAAAATGCCAGCCAGCACTAAAACAATGGAGGTTTTACCGGTTGGAGAGATAAAGGGATTAAATCTCCCAATGCTAATCCTATTGTTATTGAACATTTGTCTTCTGACTTGTTCACACATCCGCAATTGCGTTGGCAATCCAGTGTGCAGGACGTTCAGGCTCCAGCAGCACAGGTGTATATACTGTTATGCTCAATTTAAACACAGGAAAATCTCAGTCCAACAGCAGGAGTTTGAGGACTGGCAGCTGCCTTACAACGCCGAGGCACTAAATGTGAAAAAACAATCCAAAAAAAAGGCACTGGCCTTGTGCAACTTCAAGGTACCACTAAACAAAACATGTGAACTTAATCCACCTCCCTTATACTGTGGGAAATACAGAGAAAAAAAAAGTTTAAACTTGGACAATGGTCACTTAGATTAATTAACTGAAGAATTCTTTAAACTTTACTTAATAGCAGCTGTATTTGAAGCAGATTGAGAATATCTGTATGTGTTTGTACAAGTGTATGTAAACACAGTTCAAACACATTAAAACTTTGAAGTTATTTATACCTTTATTACCAGTAAGTTCTTTGTTTCTCTCTGCTTTTCAGCTTCCTCTTCCAAAAAGCCTACCCTTTACTATATGCAATATGTGACTTCCTTTGGAAAAAAACTTAATCATATTTAAATAATATGTACATGTTTGAGCCTTGGAAGGGGAGAAAATATACTGTATTGAATTTCACTAACACATTTCAAATGGGCTGTTTCATCAGCAAACAAGTATTGTTTATGCGCTATTACTCACTAGCTATTAAAAAAACTGTAATTCAGAGTTCAGGTTGCTCAGTAGTGCCCAGGGATCCTCTACAATGTTGAGAATGGCTAATTTATACCTATAAGAAACTTGGAAATAGTGGCTTGGTTGATGCAAACTTAAGTCTGAATATCTAATGAATCTAGACTTAATGTCGTGTTACGCTGATAAGGAAGGCTGAAACTATGAATTGCTGGGAAGATGCAAGGGAAGGGGTAAATATCACAACAAGTAAGTGAAAGGAGTTTTTAACAGAACTTGCTATTACTTGTATTGTACTCCACAGACTGGAATTCCAACATTTATCTATCACAACAAGTAAGTGAAAGGAGTTTTTATCAGAACTTGCTATTACTTGTACTCCACAGACTGGAATTACAGCATTTATCTCTTGATTTTAGATACCTTCTCTTTGTTTGCAATAACTTTATTCACTGTTGAAAGATGAGCAACTGCAAGGTAAAGCAGCTGCCATTACGGTAATGAGTTCATGTGTACTTAAAAATTGATCTCCAATGCTCACTGAGTGTCAATAAAAGCAGCATGCCTGCAGGATCCCAGCCCACAGACGAACTGCAGGTGACCTGTAGTAATTCAGAGGTGGTCTGTGTGGGAAAGGGACATATCTGTGAAGGGAGAGGCCAGTTGGTGCCACCATGCACTTAAATGCATTGCAGGAGATGTAGAGACTTCGTAACATAAACCATGCAAAAATAAGCAGCTGTTATACGGGGCATAAATTATGTAGCTGGATGCATAATCAAAGCAGCAAGCTAATGGCTTTCTTAACTTACGAATTTCAGTGCTGGGAATGAAGAGATAGCAGAAGCAAGCATAATACCTATTATTTCAGATCACTAAGAATAAAAGGGAGTCTAAACTTGCTATCAATGTTAGGAGATGACCTATCAGGAAAGCAGAAAGGACTCAAAGACATGTCCTTTTGTAAAATGACTATTTTCCATAATTCAGCCGACTGCTTACAAGAATCCTCTAACTTACTGGCAGTTTGATATGGTGTGCCAGTTACATTCTGTATGGTAGGAAATCCACAATATTGCACTCCTCTGGCAATGTATCTAATGCAACTGTCCCAACTCTCTCTAAAAGAGCTTCATAAAATCCCTTTTTTTGCAATTCTGTAATACTTTACATGTGCATACCCATCTGATTTATGTTTTTACAGAGGTAACATTGAAAGAATCCATGAAGTGTAGATTTTTTCAACATACATTTACTGAAGTGACTGATTTTCTCACATCTAGCTGGTGAAGCTTCATTACCACACTACAAATGTTGAAAGGGAAAGATGAAGATGATGTAGACATTTCCATCACCATTATGTTTGGGATTTGCCATCTATTCCACTTCAGTAAAGAGATTACAAGTGTTAATTCCAGTGCTGGCACATTAGAGCTGTTGCTGTTTTGCCTAAGCTCCCCTTTGTCGGCCACTTCAGAAATGCTTGCCTTTAAAAGGAATCAGCACGTTGCACCGGTCTGCTCAAAATCTGCTGGGATTTTGAGACTTTCCACAGGGTGAGGTCAGAAACACCAGACAAGCACCAGCTATTGCTGCAGAAAGGTGCATGATGCTCAGATAAACTGTAGAAGCTCAAGACACAACATGATGAGAAATACAAGGAAAGGACGTGGCTGTGCTTCAGCTCAATGCTTGTCAGACTTGGAAACTGCGGGACAAAAAGAACCCCTCTATGCCCTTAAAATCATGAAACCTAATAAGTGGGAGGGACCCTGGAGAAATTATTCAAGTCATACAGACGAATATCCATGACAATTTCCCTCTGTTGCTATATAGTCATGGCATCATAAGCTTTTAGTGTCTCATTGTCCAGTCTTTTGTGAACTTGCAGTCAGTTAATACTATTACCATCATTCCCATAGAGTCCTACTCAAGAGCATAAAAAGCCTCAGTTTCCAGAAACTATTGCCTTCTTTCTTTCTATTCCCTTATTGATAGATGTACTGGAGGCAGCTCTCAACAGGGCAGACACATTTTTCCCATCTGTAAGTCCCACATGGTTTTCCAAGGAGAAAACATCAGGCAATCTAGCCTAGGACAAGTCCTCTCCCTCCTTGTGTAGATGCCCCTCAAGGTTCCCACAACCACAGACTTATATTCTTTATACGAAATTACAATGAATCATTACCTATCTTATTCTTCCTTTTAGGAAAGACACTCCTTCCCACAGTCCAAACTTTTGTGACTCTTTTCTGACCTTCCACGGGAGCTGTGATTGCCTCAAGAGACAGGCAAAAAGCTAGAACATGTCTAGGTATCTCAGTTCCTGAACTCCTGCGTTTGGAAGAAACAAGACAAGCAACAAAGAAGTAATTAAACGATTATCTATTTATAGCAAAGGTAACTTAGCTGTACAGAAATATGTCAGTTAGATACCCAGTTACACTAAGATGTGTGATGAGAAATGTGTAAGCTGGTGTTAGTGCAGGAGGTTAGATGCAGTAGTCACATTATTTCAAAAGCCTGCATCAAAATTCTGAAATGTGAAGCAATAACCAAAGCGTAAAAGCCTTTGCACCTCTCCCATAAAATTATGGAATAATTTATGTCCAAGAAAGTTTTCAAGATTTCTCATGTTTGATGAAGTGAACAATATGTTGTAAATTAAAATAGTGTCATTCACACTGTCATCAGAAAGCTCTTGAAAAATCAGAATTTCTTTGCAACTAAAGGAAGACTGACATCATACTCCTTCTGTAGCACCTGGGGTGCAATTTGATAACTTGTATCACCAGGCAATTCAGAGGGACAATGTCATTAAGTAATTTTTTATTTGGCATGGCTTAATATATCCAACTTCTATTAACTAAAAAGGGCAGATCATGCTATTCTTGGAAAAGATACACATTTTGCCTAGCGGTACTCTGAAAAAGATACTGTTTGTGAAAAGCTATTGACTACCCTGTCTCAGAAAGCAGAATTTGCATAAACAATAAACACAACAAGAATGTATTTATTGCAATAAGCAACCATTAATTATATCTCATAAAAGCTAAGGCCACCATTCATGTTTTGAAAGCCTCATTTATTTTCTTCTTGCTGCATTTAATCAGTGAATGAAACTGTCACCATTGTTAAGATTAGTGCTACATTTCTGCCCTAAACATCTGCGAAGTCAAAGTGTGCTCATGACTTAGCCTACACTGTGGTAAGCTTTCACACACAGCCCTTGCTGTATCCATAACATAAGGTATCCAGGGGATGTGAACGCATTTGGAAACTAGAGAGAAACATGATAGTTATTTATTCCTTTTGTGGGAGAAGAGCTGAAATGCAATTGGGTCAGCAGAGCCAGAAGGAATGATGACAAGTCCTTTCCAAGTGTGGATTTCAACATGTTCGGTTAGTTCAGCATATCAGGGATGAACTACTGTATACTTACCTGTCTCAAGCCCTCTCATGCAGGCCTATGTTTATTTTGTAATTATTTTATATTAATTTAATTAATTTATATCATACTATAGTGGGAATAAGCAGGTGTTCTTACACAAGAGGTGATCTTCCTTGTTAAGCGACAAAAAACAAACCAAAGGGAAGATAGCACTATAAACCCCAGCATGCAGTTTGTAGAATTTGGCATATTTATCCCCAA